TCCTGCTGGCGCTTGCGGCAAAATTGTGAAATATGGCCCCGACTGCCACAATAGTAACATATCGGGCGAGGCGAGCGCCAGGGGGCATAGTGTGCTGGAGCTGTCACAGGCACTGGTACTGGCGCTGGGACAGGCGAGTGTGGTACAAATGCTGCTATGTTGGACTGCGCAAGAACAGGATGCGCGTGCTGAACCAAGACAGGTGGCATGGCAGCAACTTGCGCACACGTCATGGGTGGCGTTGGTGGCGTCGCGGTGTTCAATGGGAGAGCGCTATCATGGATAAGAGCTCCTTTTTGATGATGTCGCGCAGACCAGCAGATGGAGAGTGAGGCCGAGGGGTGGGTGCACATGACAACCCTTGCGCTTGAAGTTCCTCGCGAATCAGAGTGCGAATCAGCGCACGCAAATCCGCATCCGAGGAAGGCCGGCTGTCACTGGCGTCGGGTAGTCTGGGTGCAATCAAATGGCTTGGAGTTCAAGATGTTGGTGGCGATGACGTCCTCAACGGTGGTGGGTTTTATTACAGCCAGAGCGTTAAACGCGACATGGCCTATCTCTTTGATGATGTGGCAAACACAATCAGCTTTTGTCATCGACGAGTTCACGCGGTGGCAAAAGGCAAGGACGTCTTCAATGTTCGAAGTGTACCTCTCCCCGGGATGTTGAGCACGCCCACCGAGCTTTCGTTTCGACACTTCGGAATGGATGTTCGGTTTCCCGAAAATCCTACGGACTTGTTGAGCAAAAGTAGGCCAATCCAGGAAGCTGCTCTCATGGATCGGACAGATAGAAGGCAACGTGACGAAGTTTTTGAGGCTCATTCCATTGGTTATAAACACTGGTCATGTCGTATTCTTTCAGCCATACCTCGAGGTCATAGCATGGAAGATCAGAGAAGATGGGTGGGTCGCGCTGCCGGGCGTTGACAATCCACGCAGGAATGGTTTGTTGGACAGGGATCAGCGATTCTTGAGCCATGACAGCGGACGCGGGAAGCAAGCGGCGACCCGAACGAAGCTCCAGGGGAACGTGACGTCGGAGAGGGCTTGGGAATCGAAGCAGGCTCCACGACTCTGCAAGCAGCGTTGGGGTCGCGACGGGGGTTTATTAGGCCGAATCGCCTGATCAAGGCTTCGAACGAAGACGATGTTTTTCATGATGATGATTATATACAGATGAAGATGATGAAGGTCAAATGCTGTGAATATTGTGCTTACACTATCAAATATTCATATACAGTAAAAGCTTGTTATTTCGAAGTGACTGGGGCTGCGAGAAATTTTCAAATTAAGCAGGTTTTCAAATCAACAGAACATACAAGAAGTGGCACGCAGTGAACAATGGAACAATTCAAAGTGATCAGTGCTTGTTCGCTGTGCCGGCTAGCTTGCGGCTCCAAGGGTTATGTTGTTCAGCAATACTTGGTCTTAATTTTGCCGCAAACACAGAGCAGTGGTGGGCCTTGCTGCTGTCTCTAAAGAAAAAAAAAACGCTGACGTGATAAATTAAGATAAGCGCCTGTGGAAAACAAGACATATTCACTGCAACACAGTAGTGACACGCGGGCAGCATGTCGCCAGCTTCTCGCTGCATTAGCACGTCATGATGTGACCATTTGCACATTCCTTCAGGAATTTATAATGGCCAGCATGAAGGAACTCGCGATGTGTTCTGTTTGCAAAAAAAAAAATGATCTTTAAAACTTTCGAACTTAGTTTTCTAAGTAAGTGTTGCTGGCAATAACTCCGCCAGCAGTGCACAGGCGCGAATTGCTGGAGCAACTGGGAATCGGGGATTCGCAACTCGCAAATTCCGCCAAACTGTCCTCTACCACAACAAGGTCGCTTTACCACAACAATACGGGATCATCGGCAGCTACACGCGCGAACAATAAGATGAGCCCGAGTGGACGTGCGTAGACGTTTTGCCTACCGACGAACGAGAAACTCCACGGCATCTGCGAACGCGTGCAACAGGCGCTCATCGGCGTCAATTTGCCATTTGCGATCCGCGTCCCTCCCCCAAAAAAAGCACTGCTTAATATGACGTCAGCTGCAGAGTTAAGTTAGCGTAGATTGTGTGTGGCAAAGACGACAATGGGCGTCTCAATCGCGTGCATTCGCAAGTACCGTGGAGTTGCACGTTATTCTATAGGCAAAGCGTTCATGCAGGTCCACTCTACTTGTGCTAAGGTCACCTAGTTAGTGCGCGTGGATGCCGGTGGTTTCACATTGTCGTTTTAGGAGATAACTTTCTACGACTTCTTCAACAACTTTACAATCCTAGAAAGAATAGGTAAACCATGACCCGCTGGCATTGCGAGAAACATGCAATATGCTGCCCGCATATTGCAAACGTGCTTCACTGCAACACAGAAGTGAAGAACGTTTCGTTTTCCGCAGGTGCGTGTTTTAATTGAACACAAGTTTTTTTTTTTTTTTTTTGCGCTGTAAGTAGAGGGGCTGGGTTGCTACATCGCATTGCCTTGTGGCTATCAAGAGCAGTCGTTTCCGCGAGTTCGCGGCGAAGTCGAGATCTAGAACTTGGGCATTGCACCCAAAGTTTTCGAATAAATTAACCACACTGGTGTCAGCCACCGCTTTAAATTGTCCACTCAAACTTACATTACAAAATACGGGACCGCGGAAGAACATTTGTTGTTGAACTAGCTTGTGCATAACTACATTGCAGTAATTAGGATGATGGGAATTTATTTGTAGAAGACACTTTTCACATATGTAAGGAAGGGTTTTCACTTTCATTTAGTGCCTAACGGAATATTTAGGCTCATCTATGTGTGAATTGAACTGGATAATTAACTCCAATGTAATTTTTTTAACAAGCTTATATGAAGGCCTGTATTGAAATTGTAAATACAGTATGTGAAACAAAGCGTGATGGAAGCTGTTACTTAAATCCAATACAATTAAATATAATGTGGGAAAAGTTTTTTGTACTATGCAACATCTATGTACATGAATTTAATTGGCGACAGCATTTTAGAAACTTTAAAATGAAACAGTGAATTGGTTTAGATTGATAAAGTCTTCTATGAGAACTCTAAATGTCATTTATCTTACGATCATAAATTGATTATTAGAAGAGAAAATCAAGTTCACAGTACCACTTCTAAATGCATGCCGAAATCTGCACACATGATGCCATGAATTTCTAAGTGTGTTGTATTTTCCCGACAGTGGCTCAGTGAAATTTGGCAAAACTTGGTATGTTGGATCTCTGCAGGCCCCATTAGCAAACATTTGGCCTAATTTTTACCTATTAGGAGCAATGTATGCCTTAGTAAACGCCATCAAAATTTACGATGTCACAGCGTTTGGTGTATGAATTTAAAGGTGGCATTGCCACCCACATTTACTTGTTGCGCGTTTTCCCGCTTACCAAGTGTCATCTCGCGGTAAGGGTGGTTTTTTCGGGATTGTGAAACTGTACCTTGCTAATACGTGAAATATCGTTTTTCTATTTAGTGTCCCTTTAAGCATTTCCTTCGTTTGAAAAAACACTTGACATTTTTGGAACACCAACTCAACAATTCACGTAGACTTATTTCTCTTTAGATCTCTATAGCTTACAGGGTCTGGTTGTATGTAGGATTTCGCGTATTGAACAAAACAGAAGTGCTCCTATTGGAATTACTTCAGTTGGTCAGTTTACAGTTGTTATACAAGCCCATTTGCTAGTGCTTGTATTTGGCATACGTTCAACCTTGGTGGATGAATTCATTGAAATGCCAACCAACATGATGCACCAAGCAACAGCTACACCGCAACCAAGGTAATCTTGTCTTTTTTGATTCTTTGGGATGCAAGAGTCGTCAACGATAATCTTTGATAACCCTACACTTTGTGTTACAGTGGCAATATGCATTCTTGTGGGTTAGTCGAGAAGGAACACATATGTGGCTGTGCATGCCTATCAAGGCCATTTGGGTCTTGTTATAAGCTATATTGTCACGAGGTTTGAGAGTCCTATGAGAGAGAAATATTCTTACCTACAATATAATGCGGGTTACAATACCTTTCACATGATACCTTCAGGATTTTTGCCAATACAGGGGCGTAGCTAGGGGGTGGCACACCGAGCACTTGCCCCCCCCCCTCCCCCCAAATTTTATTTCACCCTAGCAGAGGGGGAAAAATGGTCATTTTAACCGAAATTAATGTGTTGCCCCCCACACACCCCCAAAATTTTATTTCACTATGGCATAGACAGCGAAAAATGACCATTTTAAGGGGGTGCATCTCCCCAAATCAAGATGGTGCCCCCCCCCCTCCTTCGATGTTTTATTTCACCATGGCATAGACGGCGAGAAATGGCCACCATTTTAAGGGAATGCATCTCCCGAATTCAAGGTGGTGCCCCCCCCTCCCTCAAAAAAGACTTTCTGGCTAGGCACGTGTGTCAATACCAATTATGGGACAGGCCATAGAGGGAAAACTTTGGTTTTCGACCACCCAAGGTTCTTTCAGCGTACACCTAATGTACACAGGTGCTTGTGTGTTTCACGTTGATCAAAATACAGACACCATGAATGCAAATCGAACACTAGTGTCCTTGAGCTTAGCAGCATAACACCATAGCAATGATGCTAGAACAGTGATTCCTGAGTGAGATACAGACTGACACCAGCATGAAACCATGGTTGGTTAGAAAAAGTGCTTCTGTCCTGCACTTAACTCTTCCAACTGCAGGGCAGAATCCCGTGGCTGTTAAATAAACCTGCATGTCAGCATGCATCACTGTAATAGCAGTAAATATTTGTATGCTTGTTAAACTGACTGAGAAGCTAATCTGTGTGTTTTTTTTTTCCTATTCGAGTGCATTTGCTGCTGGTATCCCGACCAGATGAATGACATTCTTTTTCCAAGCTTACGGGCAATAAAATAACAAATAGGTCAGTTATATGATTGGTTGGGTATTAAGCATACTGCAGCTACACGTTCGCCACCCATTGGTCAGGGAAACTTCGGATCCAGAGAGATGTTTCAGGCCTGATTTAATAGCATTCAACATGTTCAATGGCTTATTAAAACACAAAGTAGCATATCAGTTGCAACCACACACTTTTTTAAAGGCAACTGTGATACGACGACAATGATACGACGACAATCTCATACTTTTTTCAAGGCAACTGTGATACGACGACAATGTCATATGGCCAACATATTATTCCTGCCTTTGTCATTAAGCAACGTAGCTTGTGGCAATATAAAATAACTGACTCATAGGGCGCTGTGACAGTATTCTAGCGTCACATACACGAGCAAGACAAAACGCCTGTATTGACGTGCAAGGCAAAACGGTTTACGCAGAGCAGCACACCAGTCCTATCAAACTACCTAACTAGACCAGGAAACCAGTACAAATGTTCCTTCGGCGCCTGCGTGTCCAACCAAACCAAGCCCTCCTTTAGAAGATCTTCGAGAGCTTTTAGCGCACGGTCAATATCCCAGCCCAAATCCTGCACCAGAGAACCTACCGAAGCGTAGCCTGTAGTTCCAGCCTGCTTGATAACGGTAGTATGGTCGAGGCTTAGTTCTGTAGGTACTGACTGAACCAAATACCGACAGTCGATAGAGATGAGTTGAAATCCTTTTCCCAGTGCCTTGAGCTTCTCGATGGCTCTCAGAAGGTCATCCTGTGTTATTTCTTCTTGTCTTTGGGCGCTGCTGCGAGATTTAGTCACCCTCTCTCTTAGCTCTTCGACACTCATTAGGCCGCCGTTTTGGTGCGACGTCGCGAGACACACTTCGATTATCTGAACGCCTAGCTCGTAGTAAAAGTCGCCTACTCCAAGCATGTCGGCCCAGAAGCCCTTGCTTGACGCCAGAGGGTCGACTCCGGCCGTGGCACACATTTCTTGGAACTGTCGCCGGAATTGCGGGTTTTTACGGATATCGTTCTTATGTTTCGCAGCGAATCCCTGCAGTTTATCACGGAATGCCTCCATCTGCCGAGTCATTTGTTGCAGCTGCTCTTCGGCAAGCTCCGTGCCGCGGTCCTTGAACCGTGCCTGAGTCAACTGCTGCTTTTGGATTGCTCCAACTCCACCAACGCGACGCCGCATTTTGCAGAGTCGAAACCGGCTCTTGCTGCAGCGTTTTCCGTTACCGTAATGCGTTACGTCGATGTCAACACGCTCCGAATCCAAAGTGAGCAGAGAAACTATCACAGACAAAACTACCAAAGCAACCGTCGCCGCAGCCTTCTGCTGCTAAATTACGGTAACGCCCTTCGGCTTTGGCTTGACGTTATTCGACTTCGCGACGACCAGCTTTTGCAGCGTTGGCCACTCAACTTAGAATATTGTCGTAATTTAGCAAAAAAAAAATGAACGTTTTTTTTTTACTATAATTTATACATGCGCTACTTCCTATATTATCCTGCGTCATATCGATCATTGCCTAGATAAACTAAGACTACGGTGTAACCAAGACTTCGAACGCTCTGAATGGACGCAAGTGATTTAGCTGATGACAAAAAGAAACTTTTCTGTGCAGCAATGCAACCACAGAGGCCAATGTAGTATATTTCAACGCAAAACATTTTTGCCTTTCATTGATTTTGCCTTCCATTTACGGAGTTACTTAAACAAAAACCCTGCTCTTCAGGGCACAAACATGCCCATCGGGTGTGGCCAGAAGAGCCCTCTCCCGTATTCGCAAATTCGACATTTAGGAAGCACAACTTGGAAGCAGTTGTGCACTTGTACTTTTTCACAGACGACTTCTTGGACGCCGTCATAGTCCTCATTGGGCTGCACTGAATAAGCGCGACTCCCTAAAAATACACTACCGAGCCTGTGACGTCAGTCTCTGCACTCCCACGCGCAGCCCAGCATGGCAGCATTTTTCGGCTCTTGCTTTCCTTCCTACATGGGCTCCTGTGACAAAGGTCTACAAAAGGGACGGCTCGGTGGGATGATATTTGAGTTGCTCGGAGGATTTCAAGCTGGGCGGTTGTGCCGCCTGCGATCTCCGACGCCAGCGTGGCTCTCGCCGACTGGTTCGCCCTCCGCGACCTCCTGAGTACACCGTGAAGCCCTCGCCGTGTGGTGCCTCGTCCTCGCACTTCTTTGACCGGCTCCCAACTTTCCTACTTCTTCTTTTCTGTCGCTTGCATGTCTTATTTATCTAACTATATATTTTCCTCTATTCTTTTATATCCCCCTCCTTCCATCCCCAACAAGGCGCTGAGCCGTGCGCTCGCAAGAGCTGCAGAAAATAGTGCCTTTTTCCTTTTCCAAGCAACCACGAATTCGGCAGGTATGGAAAGCGAGTCAAAGATACTGAAATAAGCCAGGCTTCGTAGTCAGAACGAAACCATGAAGAGGTAGAGAGCAAAGGAGACGAAGGAAAAACGAGCCATACGCCTCGAGGAGCGTAAGCGTACAGAGAAACAAGCTAAACACTAAGGTTAACAGTAACTCACAGTACACATATCCTGGCGCAACTGAGGTAGACCACAGCCATAAAAAAAAAAAAAACACACACAGCATATCCACCAACTGAATGATGAGTGGGGCGAAGCCTCCTTCCGTCCGTTCGGGCATCCGTTCAACTGTTCGTCTGTTCATCCGCCCAGTGAACAATCAAAAGTACCAATACAGTGGCTAGAATAGGATCCTATTCTAGCCACTGTAGTACCACAATCTCGAATCTTTTAGGGGCGAAGCTCCTTAAAGTGGCACCCGTTCGTCCCTCGTAGTCGTAGTGTGTAACCAGTGTTACATTTTGACCTGCAAGGTGGTGCCGGTGGGAGATTTCTCCTGTGCTTTGTTGAACAATAAAAAATTTTGCGGCGTGCGCGCGTTAACTAAAAGCCGAAGGCTCCTGTCTCTCATTCCCCATTAGCAGCCATTGGAATGTACATTGAGCACTATCCGACAGGAAAAGGTTGCTACGTCATACTCACTGGGCGTAACCTCCTTAGTTTAGAAAGCTTTAGCGAGCGTTGAGCCGCAGTGCCATGAATACAATGAACTAGTATATACCATGAACTCGAGGTGGTTAACGGTGGGAAGTAGATACGAAGCCTAAACCGTAAGAAAGTAAAAGCCGAATTCTCCTGTCTCTCATTTCCCATTAGCAGCCATCAGCATGTACATTGAGCACTATCCGATATGAAAAGGTTGCTACGTTATACTCGCTGGGCGTAACCTCTTTGCTTTTCGATAGATTTAGGGAGCGTTGGGCCGCAGTACCGTGAATACAGTGAACTAGTATACACCATGAACTCAAGGTGGCTAAATGTGGGAAGCAGACCTGAAGCGCAAACCGTAAGAAAGTGTGCGTGTGCCACCTCTCGTTTAGTCCTTGGAATGTCCGCTGGATGGCGGTGCTTTTATATGGGGAATATATGATGAAAAGATGCGAGATGGTGGTACTTGGAGTGTTGGGCAAGGTTCCTTTTGGCGTTGCATAAATGGTTGCCAGACTAGAAAAATGGTTGTTGCCAGACTGCCGTTAAATTTGGCGGAATTTTTTTTTTTTGTAGTTGTGGCTTTTTTGCCAGAATGTGGTGCTATCCGCGGTGCACTTCTTGGCTGAAAATTTTTCTCCTGTAGTTGTGGCTTCTCCGTAAGAGTTTGGTGCTATCCGCGGTGCATTTCTTGGCTGAAAATTTTTCTCCTGTAGTTGTGGCTTCTCCGTAAGAGTTTGGTGCTATCCGCGGTGCGTTTCTTGGCTGAAAATTTTTCTCCTGTAGTTGTGGCTTCTCCGTAAGAGTTTGGTGCTATCTGCGGTGAATTTCGCGAGTGCATGAGCGACGCTGGCCGTTTTAATTAACGGAATGGACCGAGCCTAGCAGAAGTCGAGCGCGGTGCTGCTGTGCAATTAAGCGGCCGTTTTAATTCCGTTTTAATTAACGGAATGAACCGAGCCTAGCAGAAGTCGAGCGCGGCGCTGTCGTAAAATAAGCGGCCGTTTTAATTCCGTTTTAATTAACGGAATGAACCGAGCCTAGCAAAAGCCGAGCGCGGTGCTGCCCTGTCGTGCAATTAAGAGGCCGTTTCAATTCCGCTTTAATTAACGGAAGGAACCGCGCCTAGCAAAAGTCGAGCGCGGTGCTGCCGTGCAATTAAGAGGCCGTTTTAATTAACGGAATGAACCTCCCATTACAGAAGTCGAGGCGCGTTCTCTTGCTGTGTGCGCAGCTGTGCGATTAAGATATCGCGTCTCAGTATTAGGGATTACGGGGAAAACTGAATAGAGTCGCAGGAGGTGATGCGCTGCCCCCCTCCCCCCTTACTTTTCTTTTTTTTCTCTCTCAGCTGATCGTGTCGCGTCGACCGCGCGCTACGACGGGGGACGCTACGCTTCCCCTAGCTGTGTCAGCACAAGACATATCGTTCGGACTCGTATATACATGTGATGAATAAGCGTTCCAAGGCTGGTTAATCGGGGTACGTCGGATATGCTACAGCTATATACGCCTGGAAGGCTGCTTTATCGAAGCAGATGGAGCGAATTAAGCGCGACTTGCGCGTACCTGTAAATGGGACCCTGCCGACGAGCCGCCGTCGCTTACAGGGCCCCACCCACAATAAGCACAAATTGTTTCTGAGCTCAAGAGCACAGTATAAAACAATAGGGTGGGTACATAAGAATAAAATGGCATAATATATCTCACTACACGCTCATCACTCACGATATGGCAGGGATCCCTAAACAGGATATCGGCGAGCGATCACCTCCATTAATCGAAGGAAAAGGTCTTTCACGTTGAGACGTGCAACGGCCAAGTACGTCTCGAGAGGCAAAAAAAAGGGAGCCTTGCCCCTCAGTCTACCCAGCATTGGGAGTGTCCCGCGGAGCTGGGACAGCTAGCTGTTTCCTGCAACCATTGTACCTGGAGTGTGGGTCTGCTCGTTTTTTTTTTTTTTTTTGCCGGGGCGATTGTACGTGACGACTTACTGCATCCTGGGTCACCATAATTAAGCCGAGGTCCTTGCGAATTCCCCATCACTCGGATGTCGGCGGCCGCTTCTGTGCTGTTCCCGACTGTCTGCAGGTCGAACTGCCGCTCGAAGCGATGGCGTCTTCGACAGTCCAATAACGCGACGGCTCCTGAAATGGTGACAATGTACTTTGCACAACTAACGTTACGGCATTTCATAGGGATCACGATCCTAAAGCTTAGGGATTGCGACCGAGATAGGGAGCACCAAATAAGGAAATTTAAGAGGTTTACGTGAGCAAGTTTGGCCATGTGTCGATGCCCAATGCACCGACGTGGAGTACGTGCCCTAGGTGGTGTACTGTTTACGTGATACGTGGGTCACATCACGTAGCATCACGTAACGTCCTTCGCACTCCCGCTCAAGTCCAGTCACCGTTGCTGTGGAGAAGGAGGGGCACCGAAGTGGAGTACGTGACCTAGGTGTTGTACGATTCGAGGCGTCTTCGCCTATCCCGTATTTTCACACATATGCTCGCGTCGCGTCGGCGCCGTGACCCACCCCCTCTTTCTCCGCAGACGCTCGCGTCGCTTCGGGTCGGCGCCATGTCAACCAACGTTCGAGGTCCGAAAAGGCTTCTTTATGTTTTTTTATTCCAGGCGTCTTTGCCCCTCCCCCCCTCTTTCTCCGCAGACGCTCGCGTCGCGTCGGGTCGGCGCCATGTCAGCCAACAATCGAGGTCCGAAAAGGCTTTTTATGTTTTTTTTTTTATTCCAGGCGTCTTTGCCCCTCCCCCCTCTTTCTCCGCAGACGCTCGCGTCGCTTCGGGTCGGCGCCATGTCAACCAACGTTCGAGGTCCGAAAAGGCTTTTTTATGTTTTTTTTATTCCAGGCGTCTTTGCCCCTCCCCCCTCTTTCTCCGCAGACGCTCGCGTCGCTTCGGGTCGGCGCCATGTCAACCAACGTTCGAGGTCCAAAAGGCTTTTTTATGTTTTTTTATTCCAGGCGTCTTTGCCCCTCCCCCTCCCCCCTCTTTCTCCGCAGACGCTCGCATCGCTTCGGGTCGGCGCCATGTCAACCAACGTTCGAGGTCCGAAAAGGCTTTTTTATGTTTTTTTATGCCAAGCGTCTTTGCCCCCCCCCCTCTTTCTCCGCAGACGCTCGCGTCGCGTCAGGTCGGCGCCATGTCAACCAACGTTCGAGGTCCGAAAAGGCTTTTTTATGTTTTTTATGCCAGCGTCTTTGCCCCCCCCCCCCTCTTTCTCCGCAGACGCTCGCGTCGCGTCAGGTCGGCGCCATGTCAACCAACGTTCGAGGTCCGAAAAGGCTTTTTTATGTTTTTTTATG